AATGTAATCCTTTCCAATACAATCAATTATTGTTTAAAAAAATGCATCTTTAACGGTGTGATAAATTTGAGTAAACATTCCATGTACATATACAAGTTATTTCTGGCTTTACGACGTCATTATTCAAAAACGGGAAATGAATACTGATGTAATTCGGATTGGATAAATGTTTGTTGTGAAGTTTAATAACGTATGAAAATATGGAAAATATAACTGAATGTATTCATAACACCTAACTTCCGGTTTGATGACGTCACAGTATTTGGAAGCAAAGGGTGAACATTGTGGATATCGTTATTTGGGCTACGAAGATATACGACATGAATCAAATGATGCAATTACATTTAAAATGTTATCGTTTTCAAATTCTCATAGATGTAACTTTATAAAACACTGCCGAGTTAAATTATGAATATTTTGATGTAAGAACTAGGATCACGAAATTAAATCATTTCCATCACAATACATTATTTTGTTTAACAATGCATCTTTAACGGTGTGATAAATTTCCATAAACATTTCATGTACACATACGAGTTATCTCTAGCTTGATGACGTCATTATTAAAAAACGGGAAGTGAATACTGATTTAGTTCGGAGTGGATAAATGTTTATTGTGACGTTAAATAACGTATGGAAATATGGAAAATATAATTGCATGCATTTATTACATCTAACTTCCGGTTTTATGATGTCACCAGTATTTGGAAGCAAAAGTTACATTGTTATGGATATCGTTATTTTGGCTACAAAGATATACGACATGGATCAAATGATAGAATTCAATTAAAAATAATATCGTTTTCAAATTCTCATAGCCGTAACTCCCGGTTTCGGGCAAATTTAAGACGAGCTGTAGAATGGTAATGACGCATCGGGGAAATGCCAAAGCGAGATTAATGCCCGTAATGCGAGATTCGAGCCATCTCGAAATTGTCACTGTCCCGTCAAATAAGGGAGAAAAAAGACCGTTTTTTTATACCTACTCGAGCACCGCTGCTGAGATAGAGTTTCCGGCCGCCAAAACAGAAACACAAGATGATGGCAAATCGAAATTATGGTGATATTTTCGGCACGTAGAGGAAAGTCTGAATAGCAGGTTAATAGTGGGTCTGTTTTGTTTTAATGGCTTCTGCGTGTGCCGGTGAGGCGAATGCCATTCCTATTAAGATCGCCGCTTCGGAATATCCAAGTACGTAATGTTCTCACACTGTTCTGTCCACCAGAGTCTGTTATTTGAGGGATTAAAGCGATTCTTGGTCAGCTTTTGCTGTTGATACATTAAGTAAATACGATGATGCTGTCTGTCAGTATCGCAAAGAGAGATTTGGAGAAAAAACTTTCCGGGAAAGTACTCTAAATGATTCTTTCCAGTACTCTACAAAATAAAGATACATGTCTTATTATGATTTTTTTTAAAATAAAAACCCCGTCAATCTGTCTACATTCCGAGCAGTGTGTTTCGTTTAATTTTTTTTACCGGGATATGACGCCACGCGTCTTGGTCGGGATGATGACGTCACTAAATATGCGCAGCGAGGCTTCCGTTTTAATCTGCAATTATAAGACTCGCATTAAAGAAAATTCGGGGGAAAAAATATTGCAGTAAGATTTCACACATCAGTAACATTTCATCACACTTTATCTCGGTGTGACGTGTACACATAATATTCGTGACGTGTATGTGCACACATAATTATTCGATCTCGAGAGTGCTTCCGACTTGTGAGATTACCTCCCTTCGGAAAAGTCCATGTGGTTGAAACGTAAAGAAATGCGGATTCATCGCAGGTCGACAATTACAAACAGTCGATTCCGTTCATCTTCGTGGTGATTTATGGCCGCGGGAAATCTGTGTTCCATTTACGTGGATTTTAGACCCGATTATGTTTTTTTAAGGCCTGCAGTGACGGGCCTTGTATATTTCCTGAATGATCGTCGCGTTCATATTAATAGAGTAGCATTTCGTTGGTCGTAGTGTAACGTTACCTGAACCAGGCCACTTCAAATTGATCTACAGAATGTAGTAATTTCTCAGTTTATTGCCAGGATGTTATAGGCCCACATGAAAACATTTTATTGTACTTGTGGCCACCTGTGTACCCACAAGATCGTGGACAATTATCTCTAGATCAGGTAAGTAAAGTCCTGGACGAGAGAGGGTCCAACTTGTAGGAGGGGCACTTAGGGAGAGGGGCTAATTTTATGGAGGAGGCATTAAATTGGTGCCGTCATAGTTACAAATAACTGAGAAAGTTCAGGAAGTAAAACATAATTAAACAAGACAAGGTGAGCCTATTACTGGAGCACGCAAATTATATTTCATCGACTACGATTAGTTATTTCTGTGAGATAGTTCACTATGTGCCCGATTTTACCATTGCTGTGTTATCCAATACAATGGCACTGCCCAGCTCTTTACACCAGTTTACAACCAGGCTAGTCACATGTGATAGTCGGTGTATGATTTAGGCAGTCAGTCAGTGAGTCAGTCAGGAACAAAGATGACCTTTGCCCTCTGGTATAGCAGCTAAAGTAAACGCTGGCTATGCACCTATCAATTGTTTCCCCATTCCTCCCCAGGGCTTCCCCGCCCAAGACGTGGGGATTGTCACTTTTGAAGTGACAAAATCCTCACCCCTCGGGCAAAATTTAAGTGACAATCCCCGACCATGCCTTGACATACATACGTGGGGCGCACTATGTGATTGCCTTTCCATGCAGTACGCCAATGTTAACAATGCTATTTGAGTGACCAAAATCCCCACTTTGGGGCATGAAAAACGTGACCAAACCCCGACATCGGACATGGGGCAGCGCGTTGGGGAGGAGGAAGGGGTGGGGGAAACATTTCATAGGCGCATTACGATCAGAGGGTAAATGGACAGTGAACTGTAACATAAAAAATACCAAAAGACAAAAAGGGCCGATTAGAAACTAGGCCCAGGTAAACTTCCATGAAATCAGGAATGGTGACTGAATGATAAATGCCTCAACCGCGCACATAGATAGGCACTTGAAGCAAGCCAAACTTTGTAAGCAATATGTCATGTGCCAAGTCTAAATCATGCCCAATCATGTCCCCACTTCATACTTTAACCCTCCCCCTCACTGCCTACCCCTGTCTTAAATCACGGAAGAAGGAGTAGCAGAGACAACTGTCCAGACAACTATCTGTGAATCAGCGGTACACGAGTCCCCAGCTATCCAGCTATTCCCCTTATCACAGTGCTCGGACCGTGTGTACTCGGCAATTATTTGCCGGGCACGAATCCTGATGACAAACGAGCTTCCGTTCGGACGTCTCAGTTAGTTTATTACCTCCGACCTGCTGTCGCGACTTCTCCGTACTTCACATGAAGACAAGAGGAGAATATTACAAAATCTTGACTCGAGATCTGCTTAATGAAATATAGGTTTTCGGATTCTGAGTTATGATTGTATATTTTGCATCGTGGAGGAACACATATGTGGAATGCTTGCAGTATTGAAGATTTCTCTTCTGATTGATTAGGTAGTGTTTCTAGGAAGAGCCGTACGGTAACACTTGACATTTCGACCATTATGCTCTGATCGTCTTCAGAATTATGATGGCATATGGTTTGCTGTCCACGACTAAGACAAAACTTCCAAGCTCAACCGCTTGGGCAGTAGCGTGTATTTGGGTTCCTGGGTAACTGGCCCACCCCTGAGATATGATACCCTGGAAATGCTCTTATAACCCCGCCCCCTCCTTTTCTAACTGTAAAGTTCAGTCAGGAAAATAAGCGAACTTTTAAACATTCCCTAAATCGAGAACAACGTATTTCGGGTCTACCTTTTACATTGGGGCCGTCGCTGAGGGCACTTTTATTGATTAAATGTCATGAATAACGGTTCTTGTAAGACTCCTCGCACACATATTGACTAAAATTACAATTTCCTTGTATACGCCTACTGATATAACTCAATAGTCTCTCTTTCCGATGGTTCTCTAAACCACGTCAGATAATGCCTTTTTGATAGTCTATTAATGGTATTTTGCAATATGTTAGCAATGAGATGAGAGAATGTAATTAACACACAGAAAATGTTAGATTTAATCCAGAATATACGGGCTATTTGGGCTAATCATTTCAGGGTCCAAAGAGGACATCTTGTGGGGTCAAAATGACACTCTTGCCAAGGTTTCCCGGTCAAAATGACACGGAAAAGGATCAAAGAAAATATCATTGTGATCAAGAAAAGTGTCATTTTTTTGTCCCTGCAAAACATTTGGCCAAGTAGAACCCAATTTTAACAAAATAATTCAGTCAAATTGTACAATCCACAGAAAGTATGTCAATTAAACCGGAGTTATCCCTAAATGATCGTGATGAACGTTTCCCGATCAAATTGCAGCATTACTAATGTTAAGTTATTGACAAAGTAATACGCAACAGTATGGCTTTGGTAAGTTTCCTTATTTTCAGAGAGTTCAGTAGCTGCTATGTATTTATTTTGGTCTCTGCTTATCGCCCAAAGCTAACACTGCTTTGACTTAGTCAGTGGAGCACAAGTATAAGTACTTTGGGGTCTGAGGTCCGAATCCAACTCAGAATAAATACACAGTGAGCAGAATTTTTTTTTTAAAGATCACCCGGTTAACAGTATGTTTCCCTGCGACGTTTATTGAATGAAATTGAACTCGGTAAATTGAACACAACTGTGTCAGCAAGCCATGCAAAGAGCGGAATTGAGTTCTGATAATTTATCGTAATCCACTACCCTTTTTGAAACCCCTTTAAATTGAAAAAAAATCAGATAGTGTGCTTATATAAAAGCAGTAAAGCTATACAAACACGGAAACAGGTGATTCTCTGCTCTTTGGAATAGTCAACTCGCACGTAATTTTGATTTGTGGCAGTGCAAATTGTGAGGAACGCTGGGTTTGCAATCAAAAAGATGCAGCTGGTTAAATAGAAGAGTGGTGAGGAGAAACGTGACATTTTCCAATTGCAGAAGAAAAAGCACAAGCATACCTTTCAGAAGATATCCCGTCAGCTGTTTTCCGGCTGTGAGCGACAGAAGGTGAGGTTCCGTACTTTCCTCGCGTTTTACTGCACTTGAAATGAAAGTTTTCCCACACGAAGCGGGAATTTTATACCCCGCCGCCCACCATTTGGGCCACTTTGTCCACGTATCGTCTGCTGAGATTCCAGCAAATTGATTGGTTCCCCGGGAGAGCAGACGCGCGCGGCAATATCATGGGTGCGGTGCAGTCAGGAGCCGCGACACTTGGGCTTCTGGCGCTCCGTCAAGAGACGGCCGTTCTGATTGGCTTCGGGAGGATATCCGGCGTCGAGTGAACGATAACCATCGCGAACCCCGTATACGTACGTGCGTGCGATCACGATAGTGGCGTATTAATAACAGTCCACAATTAATAACGCACTATCTCGACATAGGGATGAAGAATTAGCGCAGTGACGACCGGGGTTAAACAAGAGCCGCTGGGGGGGGGGGGGGGGTCAGAATAGGGCAAGAAAATTGCCACCATCTTTAAAATTAATTAAACTCAGACATCAACCAAACCAAACTTAAACCCAAATTCGTCTACCCTAAACCTGGAGGTAAAAACAAAAGTGTCCATACCGATTTGGCTAGGTTTATTTAAACTCAACGGAACAAAATCGGCAGACAGAAACACGACCCTGCATGCTGTGTGTTTTTTTTGCTATTGTTTTGGGAAAAGGTTAGGCCTAATTGGCGTCGCCACGCAGTCAGCATGCGTCTCCCGGGTTTGTAAATGCGTCAGTTGGAGAACCAAAGATTCTCATGTGAGGTATCTCTGCACCAGTCTCAGTTACGCTTTCTGAACCCGGAAAAGTCCCGAAACATTGTCCTACTGGAGAGGTATAACTGTGTCTGAAATTGATCACCTCGTGCGTGACGGATAGTGTTTTATGTTTGTTATTCTCATAACTCCTGCCCACGCAACAGAGTAATAGTTAAAAACGCGCTGCCCGAGCCAATCAACAAATTCCACTTGTCTTCTCTTGACGAATTTTCAACTTGTGTGTTTTACTTTAACATTGTTTCTTATTTCGGGCGTCTGAAACCTCTGTAAAAAAAGAAGAAGAAAACAAGAACAAACATATCTTGGTTGCTTTTATACGCAGAAACATATTTGCCCTGCGAGTAGACTGGTTTCCGGTCCCCACGTACTCGATAATAGTTTGGGGGTCGAAACCAGTCCACCGGTACAATAAGAGAGGTGAATCATTGTTGGGCTGCAATAATGCGAAATTTGTGAAGTTATTATTCCGTTACTAACCGCGGGCGGATTTTTCTTCCACAGTTTAATTCAAAGCTGATTTGTTGGTATTGCTAAATATCAGTAAGTAACATCATAACAAATAACATCATTGCATTTGCCAGTCATCGTTTAGTAATATTATTTATGCAAAGAGCCTTTCAGCACTGTCTTAGACTTGATTGTAATTAGGCGTGCAGATTTGCTAATGATGTTAATACCAAAGCAGATTGAAAAGAGAACCCCGAGTCCTTTATATACTTCGTAAATGAATTGTACAATCCAGAAATGTGGAATGAGTTTCCCCCACAAGTTAATAAGAGCTGGCATTTTCAGATGATATAATGAGCTACCTGAACGGGCTGTACCATTTTAATATGTGACCATCTACGTTGTTATCACAACCTAATTAGTAAGATTTGTTCTGACGACAGTTGGATTACGGGGTAAGTTTTGCGAAGAATGTCTAAAATTTGCCATTATTTTTAAGTCTCCCGTGCCCTTTGCATTATTCATTTCATAACAAAGAACTATTCCACCGTTCTTTGTTTTCTTCTTTATCCAGCATGGACATTGTATGACAAACAATTGTGTGGGTGAATAATTAAGCATCTCTTGATTTTGTCTGAGTATTGAATCGGACATGGACAATTGGAACCGAATAAAATTTCTGGAAAAAAACCTGTAAAGTGCGAGGGGGCGCCACTGGCTTCATTAATGACTTGTCCGTTCCCTTTTCAGGATTCGACTTGAATTGTAGCCTTTTCCGGAAATAAAAACATTTTTTTTTCCTTTCAATTTACATTCCAAGTTTTCCATGTAGTCTGTTATTATTTTTTTTTTCATTATCAGCAGCACAAAACTAGCTTTAATTAGGGTCATCCGCAGTCAGCTTCCCAGAAAATGCTAATGACAGGTATTTCGCTATTTTTGTTTTGTTTTGGAACGAGAGAAAGTGTTTCGGACCAAGATGGAAAATTGCAACTGAAATATAAATAGACAATTTTCTGAAGGGTACTCAAAACATGTGATACGTATACATTCCTTCTGTTGTGCTAATGAGGCTTCGAAATATGCAAACATTTGGTATTGTCATTAGAGCACATTCATACATCGTGCATCAATTTCGCCCCAACTCGTCACTGCGTATTGAAAATCTATTTGTAGGCCCTGTGTTTCTCTAACTCGTGTTTTTTTGCTAGGAATATCGTGTGGCAGATTCGCGGAGGAAAACAATTGTATCCATTTCGAATGTTTGGTGAAAATGGGATCACGAAACACCGCGGTGCATTACTGATGTGCCAAATATAAAAACGTCTGTTAATCTTGCAGATGATACGACAATGATCGCCTGCGATCGCATGTACTGCTCATTATTGTAAGTTGAGGACTTATCCACGTTTGTAGTCTAATCCACGTTTGCAGTATTCAAGAAATCTGAATCGCAGTCCATTTACTGCCTGGATTTGTGAATTGAAATTTGTCCACGTTTGTAGTCTAATCCACGTTTGCAGTTTTCAAGAAATCTGTATCGCAGTGTATTAACTGCCTATATTTGTGAATTGAAATTTCTAAATAAAAAACACCACCAACAATTATAAAAACCTTAATTAAATAAATTTCATTCGCAAAAAAAATTCCCGAAAATAGATAAGACAAAATGCCAAAGTAGTGCTAAAGGGTTCTGGACAATACAATGATGAAGAAACAGCTAAAAGTGACATTGTAAATAGAGCAAAAGAGAAAAAAAGCGAGTACATATCAAAAGCGAACGAACATTTACGAGAAAAACAAAAGAATCCTTTCCGATTGCAAGTCGTTGTTGATATCCGTTGTTTGTAACTTTATAACCTTAGACCCTTTCCTCTCAATTGTTAAAAAAGCCGACGAGCAGGATCAATATTTAACAGCTGACCATCGATTGCATTTTTTAGCAACAAATCGTTTTGTATCTCCGTTTAGTAAATAGTAAGTAAGTTAGTAAGTTGGTTAGTTAGTAACAAATTTTGACGTTTTCTATTGCCCCAACATATTTTGTCAGATTTCGACCAAACTTTGTCAAAGAATCAGTAGCCCAGCCCCATTCATGTCACATGAACAAACACGGGTCAAAGGTCATCATGGATTCACTGGAGTAAACAAAAAATCCCTGAATTTCTTTACTCAAACACTACTAAAAGAAATTACATAGCACAATCCCGTGACTCACAACCTCGTCCCCAGGGTGCCGAGCTGTACGCGCCCAGCACTACCTGCTCTTTCGCCTTGGTATTGGATCATTTGCATGTGTAAGATTTTTGACCACGTATGCACGTATTCTGGTGCCTGCCAGTGCGTTACATTTGCGTTTGTTTTTATATGCGGTGTCTGGGGTAAAAACAAAATCAATTCGTCGCAGCGCAAGCATGGCGCGAGTTACGAAAACACGATTTTATTTTAATTAAAATATTACAATCTTAACGAGACAACATGCAGTATCACATTTCATATTAATATTAACAAATTGGAAAGGAAATGAATAATTTCGAGAAGGCGTTGACAACACGTACTACACGGCAAGTACACGATATAAATTAATTTTCAGCAAAGTACGGTATCAATCAGGATACAGGAAGAAAGTTTCCTATCCAGGGCTTACTATTGGAAACGAGGTCGGAGATAAGGTAAGCACTGGGACGAGGTTGCGTGACTCATGCATGAGCACACATTTGTTGAACTGCAGCTTAGGAGATCCGATCGAGCTTGTTTTCCTTGTAATTTTTACTCGACATTTAGACAGCCGCTGTCCAAGAGTTATATAAGGGGTTCGGAGAATCTTCGAACTGTATGCTCTGCAAAAAAGTGCATACAATAGACCCTTATCATGCTTCCATCATTTCAATCATGTTCCCTGTATCCAATATCGATGCTGAATGATAATGATTTTTGTGCAGAAAGGAACCAGACTATTGTTCCTTCCAGCCTCTCTTTGGCTATGTTGATTTGAATGGGAAAAATCAAGATGGCCGTAACATGATAATGGTCTATAAAAAAGACTATAGACGAGTCTCGTACTTGTAAAGCTGATATTAGACCAAATTTAATCTAAGGGGACAAGGTAGTCATCTGGCTCAAATGTGTGAGCAATGGTGAGACTGAAGTGTAATTAACACAGAACAGACATTCAGTGAATCAGGTAGATAGCAACCGCGTCCCCAGGGTGTCGAGCAGTACGCGCCCACCACTGCCTGCTCTCTCACCCTGGTATTGGATCATTTTGCATGTGCAAGATTTTTAAACACGTATGCAAATGAAAAATAGTCTGGTGCCTGCATGTGCGTTACATTAGCGTTTGTTTTTGTATACGGTGTCAGCATCGATTCGGCGTGCCGTGAGTTATGAAAACGCGATTTTGTTTGGAGGTTAAAATGCTACAATCTGGCCCGCCAATATGCAGTATCACATTTCATATGAATATGAGCAAACTGGAAAGGAAAGGGGTATTTTTGAGAACGCGTGGACGTTATAATCACAATGATCGTGAAAACATGTTATGCACGTTGGAAATAACAACACCAACTACACGATACAAATCCATTACTAAAACATTGCAGTATCGAATCAGGATACAGGAAGAAAGTTTCCTATCCAGGGCTTAATATTGGAAACGAGGTTGGAAATAAAGTAAGCACTGGGGACGAGGTTGGATAGATAGGTTCAAAGATGACTGTGTAGGTTTTCCCCTTGGGGCGAGTAAATTCTAATTGTGAGCCACGGTGAGACCTAAGCGAGTCTAATTCCCAAAATAATGCCAGCCAACCATTGAGATAGGTGCAAAGAGGACACTGCG